TGGCAACCTGCCTGCCCAATAGTCTCTTAGGTTTACTTCTTTTCTGAAATCTTTCTTTCCTATTAAATTGTCTTTCCTACCTACTTTTGTTGTGGTTGTGGCTTTATTTTGTCCTTAGGAACAGGTCTCTAATTTTAGTGATCTGGACCCAAAGAACCAAGGACTTCACAATACAGCTCAACACTCTCCCATCCGATGACATTTTGTCTAAGTTTACTCCTAAATTACCTTGTCCCTTTTTCTCTTGAGCCTATAGGTGGAAGTAACTTGTGAGAAAAAAGATAGAAGAAAAGAATTGTAGAAGGATAAGAACACTTTAAGGACAAGGGCTAAAGAGATCCCTAGAAGCCATTGTGAAGAGAATTCTGATTGCTTTTTCCTATTTTTCCAAAGTCCTTTCCAGACGGCCTGGGGAGAATCATGCCCACAAACATTAACAGACCATTTTTTTCTGTTAATAGGATTCTTCCTACATCCTATCCCTGGCATAATAACTTTGAGATATATATTTCAATCAATTACAGTAGATTCTTTTGCTTATCTCTTCCCAAGACACAGAACTTCCCTTTCCTTGAGATGTAGATTAAGCATTTCTTTTAAGACTCTCTTCCCAAGATGCAGATCTGACCTTCCAATCTCCAACCTGAAAATTCTGGAACCCACCAATAACCTATAAGCTCCCACTTCCACATGTCCTGCCTTTTTGGGCCAGACCAATGGAAATCTCTTCGGTAATTTTGTCTGTCACTCTCAAAATCAAATAAAATGAACCCCTGTACCTGATTACCCCGAGAAAACCATGTTTTCCTCCTCTCCAGGCCTGGTCACTCATATTTTTCTTGGAAATAAACCACATAAATTATTATTAATTTTTTTTAGAGTTGGTTATTCTCTGTCGTCACCAGAAAGAAGACAAAGTCAGCCACTTCTAAGCATAGGTGGTACTGGAGCATGCTCCATGGTAGCTTTCCAGGAACGGTGCAAGACCTCGGAAATAAGGGTTGTATAGGGAGGCAGGATCTGAATTCCAGAGACCTGAGCCTCTCAGGGATTCCAGAGGCTAAAATGAGACCAGGGAGTAGCAGAGCCACCACATCTATGGGACCATAGAGACTGAGGCCCAATCAGAGAATTAAAAAAATTTTTTTTTTTTTTTAGAGGTTTTTTGCTATAGGGCACGTGCGGTCGCCAGACAGACAGAGACAGAGAGACAGAAAGCGAGAAATCACCCTCCAGGGGGGATGGCCACGCCGCAATCCCTTCTCCATTTCTCCTCTTGCGATCTTGGGCACGCAAACACACGCGCCTGGAGTGAGTTTTAAGCCACCGGGTCCGGGACACGAACTGCGGTCGACTACGTGGGAGTCCAGGGACATAGCCATTATGCTAACTGCTGGTCCCAATATTTTTTAAAGAGATATTTCTTCAGACAAGAGTTTGCAGACTAAATTTCATACAGAGTGTGGACAGAAATCTGATGGCTTTTTCCTATTTTTTCCAAAATCCATTCCAGAGGGCACCAAGGGAATCATGCCCACAAATGTTAACAGACCATTGGTAACAGGATTCTTCCTACATCCTGCCCCTGGTGTAGTACTGGAGTATCTTTGTGGTATATTTTAAGGCTCATTATCACTGTTAAAGTACATTCCTTTCAGTTCCTTTCAGATCTCAGCAACTTTCCTTAACCAATCACCATCGTTATAACTGTAAAACTCACTAATAACCTATAAGCCCCTGCTTCCACATGTCCTGCCTTTTTGGGCAAGAGCAGTGAAAAAACTTTTCACTGAATTCCAAACTCTGTCTCTTGCTCTCAAAATCAAATAAAAGGGGGAACCAGCAGTTAGCGTAATGGCTATGTCGCTGGACTCCCACGTAGTCCACCGCGGTTCGCGTCCCGGACCCGGTGGCTTAAAACTCACGCCGGGCGTGTGTGCGTGCGTGCCCAAGATCCCTAGAGGAGAATGGAGGAGAAGGGATTGCAGCGTGACTATCCCCTCTGGGGGGTGATTTCTCGCTTTCTGTCTCTATGTCTCTCTCTGTCTGTCTGGCGAGCGCATGCGCCCTATAGCGAAAACCTCTCGAAAAAAAAATCAAATAAAAGAAACTGTACCTGATCATTCCAGAGAGAAAGGCATGTTTACAAATAAACTACATGAATTACTATTTTTACAGAGCTGGTTATTTTCTGTCAACAATAGCCCATTAGCATTTATACACTAATTTACACTTAATATGCATGTATTTGACTTTTCCTAGTCTCATGTGAGGTTAGCAGGTGAGAAATTATGCCCATTTTATAAGTGGAACATTAGGCTTTTTGAGGTCTGCCACACTCTCCCCAGTGTAGGCAACAGTACTTCCCAAATGTCACCAAGTGTGGTTTGTGGAACATAAATAATTTTGTACCAGGACTCGCTCGGTAGAATGTGTTTTTCTGGGTGGGGAGGGCTGTGAATCAGAAATAAACATAAAGAGTAACACACAAAGACATATAACTATAGAAAAGCAAGGATCACGTGGGCCTGGCTTCTCTGATGAAAAGCCATGACCTGGAAACAGCCTCAGGTTTATTCTTTGAAAGGGCAGAAAGTGGGGGAAGAGAAAAAGGAATGCTAGCTGTTTTTGGAGTTAATTGACTGATGATGCGAGATCAACTGGTGCCATGTGATTTCTCTGATCTTTTGGAGCTGATTCTGATAAACACATGTGATTTCTTTTTACCTGATACAGCAGTATCGATAACAGCACATAGCCAGCACATTCATGTGTTAATTGCCCTCACTGCTATGCAAATGACAGATCATTGAACCACATTTCATGTGACTGGTCCCTATGTTTTCTCAGAATGGCCGCTCTCCACAATTCTGTTAGCCAAAAATATTTCTTCTATTCATCAGTCATTGGGCCCAAATTCTATTTATTTGGTATTATTCTTCAACATTATCTTAAGAAGCTATTAACTTAAAGGATTAAACTTTTATAGTTCTTGACAGGAGGAACATATAAGTATTCACCTATCAATAAGAGGAAAATTAAATCATGAACTCATCGTCTCTACTCACCCTTTCTCTCTATAAGTGAGATTTCCTGGAGCAGATCAAACCAAGAACAGGAAGTTGTTTAAAACATTTCTGTAAACTTAAGAACCTTCAAAAGAGAGAGCGCCCTCCTCAGCCCCAATTCACTTAGCATATCCTCTAGTTCCATCCATGCTGTAGATGTGTAAATAGCAGGATCTCCTCCTTCTTTAAGGTTGAGTAATATTTCACTGCATATACAGGATTGGAGTTTCCTTATCCATTCATCCACCATTGACCACCTAGATTGTTTCCAAATCTTGGTTATTGTGAATAATGCCCCATGGGAGCACAGATATCTTCACAAGGTGGCAATTTCATTTCCTGATGGACCCGGGCATTGGCTCTGGCTCCACTATCTACCATTAGATTGGCTGAGCTTAGTGTAACTCTCTCCATCATGGGTAAGTTAACTGACTTCTTAATTTTATACTGGAGCCACTCATTCTGCTTTTCTGGAGTTTTTGGGTCCTGTGTCCCCTTCACAACCTGCTTTACAGACCACAAGGTTATTTTGTGCTCTGGGAGATAAGTCTTTGTTTATTCCTTTCCAGAAATTCCCAATTGCCCTACCCCCTCTTAGGATGAGATCTTTTGTTTGCATATATGTGTGTGTGTGTGTGTGTGTGTGTGTGCATGTATATCTGTACTTGTAGTATGTTATATGTTATATGGTAAAAGTCCTGAAGGTAGGAGTTGGAAAGTTTAGATCAGAGCCTCTGCCTCGGGGAGACTAGATGTTTCCAACGTGGGAAGTCTGGAAATTGGAAAGGACAATGTCCATGACTAGCATCCTCCTGTCACACCACAGGGGCCTTGTCCCGAATGTTGAGGAGTTGACCACTGGGGACAGGAATGGTTTAAGCTCTGAAGGGAACTTGGGACTCCTGAGCCCATGATGGCTCCTGAAATTGAGGATTGATAGATCCCGAGACCCCAACCACTCCCCTTGTACATCTAGAAATCTCAATGGACAAGCCTTGGGTAACACTTAAAGTGACAAATAAGAATGTGTTGTTTAAGATACTAATTTTGTCTAAATCAGAGTTTAGGTTATTTCCAAAAGTAAACTTTAGAAAGAAAAACAAGTAAAAATAACAGCAAAAGGAAAGAGACACAAAGTTACAGCTGTGAAAATATATTTTGGGAAGGAAGGTTAAAAGGGAAGTTTAGATATAGAAGGAATTTTGTGTGGTAAAGTTTTTGTCTTAAAGTAAAATGAGTAACGTAAAGGAAAAGAAAGGAAAAAACTAAAAGTCTAAAGCATGTTGTTAAAACTTTGAGTTACATTGAAAAAGAGTCTGAATGGGTGTTTTGGGGGTTCCTACATTTGGGGGTGCTTACCCATAACATTTACCAATTTCAAAGGACATGACCAGAGAACCAGAAGAGAGTTTAAACCATGAGTTTACTTACTAGGGAAACTCCACTGATGGGTGGGTAGACAATGGTCCATGCGGTCAGTGAATACGGGCTCAAGTTTTATATACCAAGAACAAAGCATGCATAAATTAAGTAAAGACAGAGATTGTTTAGGGGTTTAGATACCAGATCAGCTTATCAATTAATAACATTAGCAGGTTCTGTCTGGGTGTGGTGTCTGGAGTTTAGAGCCTCTAGCCTGTGATGTTTATGGTGGGAGAGGTGTGAGGCATACCTCTGGAACAGCCCCAGCCACAGGCTAGTTCCAGGAGAGAAGGGAATGATCATGAGGGGCTCATGAAGTCAGTAGCCAGATCTCAGAGGAACTGGGCAAAGAGGAGGTGGGGAGGAGAGCCCAATGTATGGAGCTGACCCTCGGAGGAAATTATAAAGAATTCTTTTGTGAAAGAATTTTATATATGGCAAGTTCACTAAAATTTGAGAAGTGTTTTTCATGTTAAAAGACAAGTTCTTGTCCCAATCAGCTCTCAATAGTCAAAAAAGCTTCAAAAGGTCATGCAGGAGTCAGGAGTAGCCTTGGATGACCTCCTTCAGGCTGCCACTACCGTCTAGGGGTTAGAGCCACAAAGGGATTTTTCCCCAACTGCAGCTTTAGAATTCTTGCTTTACCTGTCTCAGTTTCCTTGTTACGCCAGGTTGTCTTTGCCCTATATTAAGCTCAGATCTTCTTATAAAAATTGGCACCATGGCTATGTTGGGAGAAAGTGCTACCTCACAAAATTGACCACCTACCTACTATCTCACTGGGGCTACTTTGATGAATACCTTAGAAGTTTGGAAGAGACAACTAGAAGGCAGGAATCAAGTCTTGAAACACCTGTTTTCTCTTTTCATTTCATCTTGCTTCACTGTCACTGGCCTGTTCTTTTACTGTGGCTCTTTTACTTACATAAATTTATCTACTAACTGGTTCCAAATATGTACCTTGGTCTTTATCTCCCCTAATATTAACAAAATCCCAAAAGATCTCACCTTATCAGTTCCCTTAGTGGCAGAACAGTCTTTACCCAAAATAGGGCAGTCTAAGTGTTACCTTTCCTGACAGCCTTAGGGATTGCTACAGGAATAGGCACAGGGGGTAGGAGGCATGGCTACATCTCTCACTACTTTATAACTCTTTCCTCTGACCTTCAACAAAGACTAGACAAAACATCCTGAAGTCTCTTACAGAGACTTTGTAAGAGTGCTACTTTTATTCTTCCCCTGATTGCTTCTATTGTAACTCTTGTCTTAGTTTCAGCAGGGCCTCCACTCCTAAAAATGCTAAATCACTTCATCTGAGACACTATTTAACAATTGACCCCAAGACAGGTGAGAAACATGTTGCTCCTCCAGACTGTACAGAATCACATCTGCTCCAGAGGACCCACACCCCTCCCCATTACCCTAAAGGACAACACCCTTCTCAGCATAAAGCAACTCAGGAAGACTGAGAATCACATATAATTCCTTGTCCCGCTCTTGCCTCACCTTTTTATATTTTTAAATAAAGGATTAAAAACTCGGAGGGGCCGTATGGCAGGTGGAGTGGTGGTTAAGGGCTCTGGACTCCCACATGGCCAACGGCGGTTTGAGTCCCGGAGCTGATGGCTTTTTTTTCCTTGCTTTCTCTCTCTCTGTCTTGTCAAATTAAAATAAATCAATAAATCAATAAAGTTAAATGAAATAATTAAAAAAATAAAGGCCAGAAATGTTACATTGACCCCTGAATGGCTGTTAGGTAATTTCCCATCAGAAAATAAAGGATGGTTACAACAACCTTTGGCCAGAACCCTCTGGCCAGAGCTCTTCCTTACTGGCAAACAAAACCACAAAAATGTTTCAGCTGACATTTATAGATGGGTCCACAATGTCATGATGCCAAATAAACTAATCAAAGTACCTGACATTCTCATGACCCAATCCTTACACCCCTACCATGTAAATACACCACATCTTCTCAGTAGGGCTGGCTGAAGCACCTCTGGCTCCAAACCCCTAGACATTCTTTCTTTTAATAAACTTTCCTTTCCACTTGAAAAAGAAATTTTTTTCCCCTGGCATGAATACAGAGCATATTATCAAGTCATAGATATTAGCAGGTGCATTATCATTAGCAGGTCATTTTTCACTGATGGTTCTGTTAAATATTTTGTAACCCTATCCCCTCCCTCCCTAGCTCTGCTACCTACCCCCTTTCTATACTGTTTCTAGTACTTGCAGTTGCCTTTCCTGTTATTATACCTTCCAGTCTTTCCATATGAGTACAGGCATTTGTTATACATTAAATGGGGATATACAATGGTCTTATGTTTACTTATTTCTTTGTACTGTAAGCTTTTGACATTAAAAAAAGAAAAACAAATGCAAAAAACTCCATTGTCAAAGCCAATGTCAAGGACATTTTCTCAGTGTTTTCTCCTAAGAGTTTTATGGTTTCAGGTCTTATGTTTAGGTCTTTTATTTATTTAATTTTTGTGTGTAGTATAAGTGTCCAAATTCATTTATTTGCATGTGGAAATCCAGTTTCCCTATACCATTTATTAAAGAGATTATTTTTTCTCTGTTCTACCTTCTTGGTGCTCCTGTCAAAAATTAGATGGTATATCATCTATATCTATGTCTATATATATATGTATATGAATTTATTTCTGGGTTCTATTCCTTTCCACTGGTCTATGTGTCTGTTTTTGTGCCTGTACCATCCATGCTATTTTGACTGGGTTCTATTCCTTTCCACTGGTCTATGTGTCTTTGTGCCTGTACCATCCATGCTATTTTGATTACTATAGCTTTGTATTATGGTTTAGAGCTTTGTAATCTTTTTTTTTTTCTTTTTTAAGAGAGAGATTTTTTTGCTATAGGGTGTGTGTGCTTGCCAGAGATACAGAGAGAGACAGAGAAATCATCCCCAGGAGGGGTGGCCTTGCTGCAATCCCTTCTCCTCCATTCTCCTGTCAGGATTTGGGACATGCATGCCTGGAGTGAACTTTAAGCCACAGGTCTGGCCTGGAGTGAATTTTAAACCACCAGGTTTGGGACTTGAACTGCAGTTGACGATGTGGGAGTCCAGCGGCATACCTGTTCCATCATGTGCTGGTCCTGAGTTTTGTAGTCTTTACCTAATTTAATCCTATGAAGCACTACTCCATACATTAGTTACTACCATTAGTCCCATTTTATACCTGGAAATATGGGGCTTGAAAATGTAAATTTGCTTAAAGTCTCACAACCAACTAGTGGCAGAGGTAGAATTCAACCCAAATGATCTAAAACCAATGCCTCTAGGGGTAACTATGATAATTCATGGCTCTGTAATGAATTAGTATTTTTGTAATTCTTATGCCTTTATTTCCTCACTTACACATAGGAAATAAAGCCATGTCTGCTGTACAGGATTGCTGTGATTATTGTTTTTATTTGTAAGCAGGGAAGTGTAAACACATGCAATTTCCTGTTACCAAGCTATATTGCCTGCTACGTGTATCTCCATGGACACAGTTTCTAGCATGCCTAGCCTCGGGTTCTGGACCTGGAAATCGAGAGTTTTTGTTTTTTTTTTGAGAGGTTTTTTCACTATAGGGCGTGTGTGCTCACCAGACAGACAGAGAGAGACAGAGAGACAGAAAGCGAGAAATCACCCCCAGGGGGGATGGTCACGCCACAATCCCTTCTCCTCCATTCTCCTTTCGGGATCTTGGGCATGCACGCACACGCGCCCGGCGTGAGTTTTAAGCCACCGGGTCCGGGATGCGAACCGCGGTCGACTACATGGGAGTCCAGAGACATAGCCATTACGCTAACTGCTGGTTCCTGAAATCAAGAGTTTTGAACTAGAAATTTCTATCCTTTCCAGCTCAATGACTTCCACATCAGTAAATGAACAAAGCTGAGATTTGATTGGACCACAGGAAGTAGAAAATAGATCCAGTAGGGACATAACAACGTGGGGTTGAAAATCAGCAGGGAACAAAATCTTAATGGCAACCATGACACCAGGGAGCGAGTAGAGCAAGTACCTGGAGAGTTTTTCCCTCTGCTTGGTGTTTTTCCATTGAATTCCGCCAGCACTAATAAATTTGAGAGGATCCCAGTTATGGTCATCACTTTTGTGACAGCAGTTACATGGCCTAGGTGCTCATCTTAGAGTTGGCAGACCTAGAACATCCTTTTAGAAAAAAGGAATTCCCACGTTTTGCAGGAAGTCTTGAGTTCCTGGAGGATCTGGGTCAAGTTTAGAAGGCAAGAGTTGAAGAGATCAGTGGATAGTGTGTTCTTTCAATATCCTTGTAATTCTTCCAGTAGGATCCATGAGGAACAAGGTCTGTGGTCCTCAGTCTCCCATTGTTCAATTCTTCTCTCCTGTACTTCCCCACCACATACTTTGAGCTCTTTCTTGTGTTTCTCTTCCTCTGAACCCAAATTTGCTACTCTTTAGCGAAAAGAATAATCCAAACACAACATTTTAGATCTCACTCTGGAGTAAGGGATAGATGTTAAAATTTTAAGAATGTGCTTTTAAACTCTGTTACCTTCTGTTTTTTCACCTATAAAATGGGGATAATATGATCATCTAGAGTCTAACATGACAACAGCTCTAAAGCCTGAGAGACAGTAAAAGTCAATCATTGAGAGCTGAATCAAAAATAATAATTGACAGGCACCAGATGGTGAAGCAGTAAAATGAAATGCTCTGGGAGGTTGTCTCCTATGGGAAGGTACTGGACTCACAGGTACTAGGTTCACATCTGGACAGTTTTGGAGTATTCTGGGGACGCATATGCTCAGGATTTGGGGCTGGCTGAATCTGCGGGTAAACTGAAGAGTCAAGATGCACTCTCTCTCTGTCTCTTTCTCTTGCTCTCGCACTCATCTGCCTGTCTCACTTATGGAAAAATAAATAATAAAACTAAATAATTTACATATTTCAAGGGGAATTCTAAGGTTGAAATATACTTCTCTATGTTTTCTAGTTTTGTCTATTGCAAGATGGCTTTTTTCTTAATTTTTGCCCTTCAGGATCATTCTTTTGAAGTAATAAAAATTAATTTGATTCTATTTAAATACACAGCTTCTATTCATAACTTCTGAGTATCAAGATGAATTGAGTCTTAATGATATGACGGAATACTCAGGTAACTTTCCACTAGACCATTTTGAAATGCTTCAAGTAGCTCTTTATTGTCATCTTTGGAAACCCTGGGGGTCTGGAAACACCAGCCTGGGCAGCACAGACATCAGAGATGCCACTCTGAGCACAGGTAGTGTTGATCTCAATGTCCTTTCTTGTCCTCCCTTGCTCTTTATTCAGTACTATTCCTGGCTTCCTTTATCTGATTTGTATTCTGGACAACTTCTCAAACTAACCGAGTCCGTATCAGATCAGAATTGCAAAGGGTTTTGATTAGCTAGAGTCATCTAGTTATATACCCAACCAAAAGGCAGGGTCTTCAAAAATGTGTATTATGAAAAAAAAAAAACAAACCACTATGCCTGCATTTTTTAAAAATTGCACTAAACTTTCTTCCTTCTATTTTTTTTCCACAAACTTTTAAAGTCCTATCATATTTACATCAGTCACTTTTTCTTCTCTGAATTGTCTGGAAGATGGCAAATACATGCAAAAAATTAAAGAGAGGGAGTGCATTCAGAATTTTTTTTCTTTTTCTCTACCTTGCCAAATTTTAACAAAATGAGAACTTAAGGATATATTTTACATGAAAAAGAAAAACAATGTACACTCCTCACTCTTTTCTGGAATAGACAAGTACATATAATACATTTAATTATAACTTCATCTGTCACCAGGATGTAAGTAAAAAGTCTGAGTTTTCATGTAGTTAACAGTTTGACTTACAGTCATTGAATTGACCAACTATACTAGTTTTTCATAAATATTATCTGTGAATGTTTATATTTTCAAAATATTTTCATTCTGGGGACCAGCAGGTGGCATGGTGGTTAAGGTGCTGGACATTCCCACTTGGCCAACCATGGTTCGAGCCCCAGACCTTGTGGGATGGTGGTTAAGGTGCTGGACATTCCCACTTGGCCAACCATGGTTTGAGCCCCAGACCTTGTGGGTTCCTTTCTCACATTCCCTTTCTCTCTTTCTCTGTGTCTCTCTCTCTCTCTGACCAAATAAAGAAAAATAAATAAATCAATAAACGAATAAATAAATAAAATTAAATAAAAAATTCTTTAAAAAATATTTTCATTCTTGGACTATGTATCTGAGACTTTATATTGACAAGACTCTATTTTAAGAGTAAATGTAAAGATATCAACTTCATAAAATTATAACCGAAATTAAACCAAAATAAGATATTCTTACTTTCATATCCAAGGCTGGGCTTAAGACCTACTTATTAATATTTTAAATATATATACACATATATATGTGTGTGTGTGTGTGTATTATATATGTGTGTGTGTGTATATATATATATATCTATATATATATATATATATAGAGAGAGAGAGAGAGAGAGGGAGAGAGAGTGAGAATTACATACTTAGTAATAAGATGATTAGCATTATGTAGCGAAATATCTCCACTGGCCCATAGACTATATACAGTGATGTTGTTAGTTCAGGGAGATTTGCCAGCAGTGGAACACAAAAGGTGGCCTTAGGAATTTACAATCCAGTGGAGTGGGAGATAGAATAACAGAAGATTGAAATAGATATAATAATCTATTACCAATATTCTGAGTCTAAGCATATAATTTTGGATATAATGCCATCAAGTACTCCCTGATACTTCATGTTAATTCTGTCTTTATTCCCTTTTACAGACAAAAAAGAGCTCGCCAGACAGACAGAGAGAGACATAGAGACAGAAAGCGAGAAATCACCCCCCAGGGGGGATGGTCACGCCGCAATCCCTTCTCCTCCATTCTCCTCTCGGGATCCTGGGCACGCACGCACACGCGCCCGGCGTGAGTTCTAAGCCACCGGGTCCGGGACACGAACCGCGGTCGACTACGTGGGAGTCCAGCGACATAGCCATTACGCTAACTGCTGGTTCCCTGTCTTTATTCCCTTTTACAGACAAAAAAGATGATGGGAATAATGCTAAGATTTGAACGCTTCTGGTTTTTAGCCCTTCATTCAGTCCCAACCACAACCCTCCAAGATGGTAACTATTACTAACTCCACTGATGGATGAGGAAACTGAGGCAGAGAAATCGATAATTTGCTTAAGTTTCTCTAGTTAGTGAGTATATATTAGAAAAGTCCCTCTGTCTCTCTCTTGCTTATCTACTCTATTTTTTCTCTTTCTTCACACAAAATATTAAGGATTTATGTATTTTAATAATTTTGATAAGAAAATTGAGAAAATTCAATAAAGTATAAAGAAGATAAATTATACTAATCATTATTTGATATTTGGTGTTATAAATGATTCACATTATATGGTGCATGTGTGTGTGAAAACAGAGTCTCAGATACCATGTCTCTGGCTGACACACAAAGAGATTTTAAAGAGCACCTACTCCAGCATCCTCATTTTACATGTGGATCCAGCATTATTCAAGTTCTCTGCAATCAGAGCTTGCCTCAGTGGAATAGCCCTCTTTCCCCAGATAGACTGATGACAGCAGTGTTTTAATTTGTTCTATTTTTAAAGTTTCATATACTTGAAAATGTAGAACAGAAAAGCATGAAATTAATACATTTTAGGTGATATAATCCTAATGAGGCCTATTTATTGTGCTTTGTCTCTAGAGACAGACTAATATTTACCCAACAGAATTTTTAGTTAAGTTTAGAGATTATACACAGAGGTACAAATTACTTCAATGTTTATGATTTGAGGTTGTCTATTAAGCCAGTCATATGACTGATAGAAAATAGTTTTTTGTTTGTTTGTTTGCTTGTTTGCTTTTTAGTGAAGAGGAGGAATAAAACTATTTCCTTTTATCACTTTTTATTTTCCTCACAGAAGGCACCAAGCAGATCTACAGAAGGGGATAGAAACCATACATCTGTGTCTGTGTTTGTTCTCATGGGACTGTCAGATGACAAAGAACTGCAGCTCCTCCTCTTTCCAGTCTTCCTGGGGATTTACCTTATGACCCTGATCTGGAACTTGGGTCTTATCATTCTCATCAGGATTGATTCCCACCTGCACACACCCATGTACTTTTTTCTCAGTTTCCTGTCATTTATAGACATTTGCTATTCTTCTTCCATCAGCCCAAGGATGCTTTCAGACTTCTTAAAAGATGAAAATACAATTTCCTTCATTGCCTGTGCCACTCAGCATTTCGTTGCATCCTGGATGGCTCTGACTGAGTGCTGCCTCTTGGCCGCCATGGCCTATGACAGATACATCGCCATTGGTAGCCCTCTGCAGTACTCAATGATCATGGCTCCTGGCCTCTGTTGGAAGATGGTGGCTGCAGCCTATGGGAGTGGTTTCCTTAGTAGCTTAATTCAAACAGTATCTAGCTTTCATCTTGACTACTGTGGGCCAAATATTATTCATCATTTTTTCTGTGACATAGCTCAGATTATTGCCTTATCTTGCTCCAATCCTTTCATTGGCCAAATGATTCTTTTTCTGGAAGCTATCATTGTTGGATTTGGTTCTTTGCTTTTTATTCTCTTATCTTATGGTTTCATTGCATCTTCCATTCTGAAAATATCTTTACTCAAGCATAGTGCCAAGGCTTTCAGCACCTGTGCCTCCCACCTGGCAGCTGTGACACTCTTCTATGGCACAGCCCTCTCTGTGTACATGCATCCCAGTACTAGCCACTCCATGAAGCAGAACAAAGTGCTGTCAGTGTTCTATGTAATCTTTATTCCCATGTTAAACCCTCTGATCTACAGTTTGAGGAACAAGGAGATCAAAGAGGCCCTCAAGAGGGTGATAAAGAGGGCAACGTATTTACTTCAGCAAGAATAACATTTAAGCAGGTACTATTTTCCCTATAAGAAAGATGGAAATAGTCATACATAAGTGACATTTTGTTGCTCACAGAATTGTTCGGTAGACAAAAGAAGTGAAAAACATGACTTCCTTAATTGCTGGTATCAATGTGTTTAGCTGATACCAACCAAGTGATCTGTCTGAGGCAGTACCACTGACAGTGAATACAGTTTAAAAAGTGAGTTTCTAAAAAGCTTCTGCACATGGGACCAGCAGATGGCATAATGGTTACATTATTGGACTCCCATATAGTCGACCGCAGTTCAAGTTCTGTACCTGGTGGCTTAAAATTCAAATGGGCACATGTGCCTATGTGCCCAAGACCCTGAGAGGAGAATGGAGGAGGAGGGATTGCAGCATGGCCATCTCCTTGGAGAGTGATTTCTCGCTTTCTGTCTTGGTCTTTCCAGTGAGCATATGCACCCTACAGCAAAATCTCTAAAAAAATAAATAAATAAATAAAAGAAAAAAAAGAGCTTCTCCACAGAAAAAGACACAATAGAGTGAAGAGACAACTCTCACAGTGGGAGAATATATTTGTAAACTACACATTAGATAAGGGATGGAAAACAGAATATACAGGATACACAAGCAGCTTAAATAAATGATTAATTTAATTAAAATATGAACCAAGGAACTGAACAGACAACTCTCCAAGGAAGACATCAACATCATCATCATCATAAGTAAAATAAAACTTTTTAGACAAAAGAATGATCAAAAAGCACATGAAAAAATCCTCAGCATCTCTTATTATAAGAGAAATGCAAATCAAAACACAATGAGATATCACTTAACCATAGTCAGAATGACTAAAATAAAAAAATAAAGAATGGTAAGTTCTGGCAAGGTTGTGGTGTAAAGGGAACCCTGTCATACTTGGTCGGAATGCAAATTGGAACGACTACTGTGGTGGTTGTATGGTATAGAGGTTCCTTAAAATACACAAGTAGAACTACCATATGGCCCTATAATTTCACTCCTGAGTAGATACCCAAAGGAAAGAAAAATGCAAAGTCAAAGAAACACCTGCACATCTATGTTTATTGTGGCATTATTTCAATTGCTAAGACATGCAATCAACCCAAATGTCCAAGAACATGTGAAAGAATTGAAAAATTGTGGCACTTATACACTATGGAATACTATTCAGCCATAAAAAACAATGAGACCCTGACATTTTATACAAAATGGATGAATATGGAAGATTTAATGTAAATGAAGTAAGCCAGACTATGAAAAACAGGCATTGTATATACCCCTCCTTAATATATACCGAATGTCTGCACTCTATGGCAGAAACTGAAAGATTGGAGGGCATAATGGCAGGAAGGGCAACTATGAATGCTAGAGGCAGTATAGGAGAGGATGGGTAGTGTAGGGGTAGGAGAACGGAGACCAGGGAATAAAAGAATTTAACAAACACAGGAGAGGATGGGTAGTGTAGGGGTAGGAGAATGGAGACCAGGGAATAAAAGAAAAGAAGAATTTAACAAACACAAAAATGAAAAGGTATCTGTTGATTATAATGTATGTGGTAATATCTTTGACTTGACTGATATGCACTGTTTTCATGTTGGGAAAATTTTTTGTGCACTGTAAAGGTGTACAGTGATTAAACATAAATTTTTAAAAAGTAATAGAAAAAGAAAAAAATGAAGTTTCTGTGATTAGAACATAGGTAGATTTACTCCTAAAATTTTATGTTTTTGAGAACAGAGATACTTTTAGGTTTTATATGTAGAGAAATTACAAGAACCTGGAATACTACATAGCATGCCTTTTTCCGCACCAATTTTATTTCTTTTCTATATATATATATATACACACACATAATATTTAAATATTTTTTTGGAGAGGTTTTTGCTATAGGGCGTGTGCGCTTGCCAGAAAGACAGAGAGAGACAGAGAGACAGAAAGCAAGAAATCACCCCCTGGGGAGATGGCCAGGGCCCAATCCCTTCTTCTCTCAGGATCTTGGGCATGCATATGCACACGTGCCTGGTGTGAGTTTAAGCCACCAGGTCCGGGAATCGAACTGCGGTTGACTACATGGGAGTCCAGTGACATAGTCATTATGCTAACTGCTGGTCCCTCTTTTATATATTTTTAATTGGTAAAAAGTTATTTTTTTAAGAATTATTTTATTTAACTTTATTTATTTATTTTAATTTTACCAGAGAGGGACAGAGCAAATGAGAGTGAGAGAATGATAAAGCAAGTTGCCAGGTCTGGGACTCAAACCACGGTCTGTCATTTGGGAATCCAACACTCTTAACTACCACGCCACCTGCCAGACTCTAATTATATTCTTATAAAATAAATTAAATATATAAAAAGAAGAATAATTAATAAAAGAACATGGAGAAAGAAGGAGCAAAAGGGAGACACTGAAATCCCAGAGATAAAAGATAGAAACTGCTACCCATGTGTGTTGACACAATTCTGCCACTCAACCATCCAAAACCAATAGGCAGGCCCAAGCCAAGCTGCTTGGCTTGAGCTTATCAGCAGGGACCCAATGAGCCTGTTATGGTAGCAGAGGGGCTCTCCATCCTTCAAGAATCAATATCTGGTTCTTGCAATCCCAGAGAAAAAAGGAGTAACTGGGAGACCCTGCCATCTTATGCTTGTCAACTTAACCTCTACTATGTTGGCAGCAGTTAGATTTAGATATACAAGAACCAAACATCAGAAAACAGGAGTCTCTGGAAGAATTCTTTCCCCTAACTCTCTTAACCACAAATAGAGAGAAACTCTCCTCTGAAAAGTTAAACCTCAAAGTCCAACTGTGGATTTCACACTCCCATCCACAGTAGAGGAGGAAATTGTCACAGAGCTTACACATATCATAGAGAAGTGCAGGAGCACACAGGTACAGAAACAGACTGCAAAGAAGTAGGAGGAAGTGAGTATACCACCAAACAACTAAAAATCAAAGCGAAGCCCCAAGGAATATGAAAAAATCAGGAAATACCTCCCCCAAAGGATTATAACACCTCACCAACGATGGATAAATCACAAGAGATTACAGAAATGTCAGAGAAAATTAAAATATTTATTGTAACAATACTCAATGAGAACCCAAAAGACCAACAGAGAAGCAATTGCAGGAGATGAGACAATCCTTCTATGACTTAAAGAAGGAACTCCATAAAGAGACATTCTAAAAAAGAATCAAACAGAATTTCTGGAGGTAAAGAATACAATGAAGAAAATAAATACTTCCCTCAAAAGTATTAACAGCAGATTAGAACACACAGACGAAAGAATCTCTGACCCTGAAGACAAAACCTCTGATTTAGTCCAAGCAACCAAAAAGAATAGAAGACTAACCATTAAAAATGAAGGCAATATATGGGAAATCCTTAGATACTATTAAACAGCTGAATATCCACATAATAGATGTTCTAAAAGGTGAAGAGACAGGTAAAAGCATAGAAAACATTTTTCATAATATATTAGCTGAAAACTTTCCAAATTTAGAGAGGCATGTGGAAATCCAAATCCAGGAGACACAAAGGACACCAACCAGGTATAACATGAGAAGATTCTCTCCAAGGCATATCATAGCCAATTTGTCAAAAATCAAAGAAAAACAAAATTCTAAAAATGCCAAGTACTTTATAAAGGTTACCTCATTACACTAACATATTAGTCCTATTGTATAAATGGAAATATAGAGCCTGAAGAGGTGAATTTGCTTAAGGTCTTACAACTAACCAGTGGAAGAGGTAGAATTTAACCCAAATGATCTGAAACCAATGCCTCCCTGGGTTAACAATGATAAGTCAAGGCTCTGTAATGAATTTTTATTCTTGTATGATGTCTTCATTTTCTCACACACAGGAAAAATGATCTGAAACCAATGCCTCCCTGGGTTAACAATGATAAGTCAAGGCTCTGTAATGAATTTTTATTCATTTTCTCATACACAGGAAATAAAACCTATTTCAGTAATTGTGTACCTAACTAGTGCATTCTGTAGAATGGTTCTGTTAAATAATTTACTTCATCACTGTTAATTTTGCTATAGTAATCTATTGACAGTGTGTATTTTTTCCTGCTGTTGCCTCCTGCTTATTTTTGTCTCAGTTAAGCAGCCAAGATAGCAACTGTCTATAATTCTTGCTCTGCAAAAGTACAATAAATGTTAAATATGGGGAAAAAAAAGAAATAAAGCCATGTTTGCCTTATAGGAGTGCTGTGATTGCTGATTTTGTTTGTAAGCAGGGAAGTGTAAACATATGTAAATTATTGCTGCCAAATTATATTGGCAGCTCCCTGTGTCATCATGGACAAAGTTCCTAGCATGCCTAGCCTCAGGTTCTTGACCAGGAAATTGAGAGTTTTGAGTTAGGAGATTTATATCCTTTCCAGCTCAATGAATTCTCTATCAGTAAGTGAACAAAGCTGGGATTTGATTAAACCATAGGAGAGTAGGAAATGGATCCAATAGAGACAGCAATGTGGAACATAAAATCAGCAGGGGAGAAATCTTGAAGGCAACCTAGATACCAGGGAGCAGGTACCCGGAGAGTTTTCCCCCTCTACTTGACATTTTTCCATTTATTTCTGCCATCTCTGATGGATTAAGAAAATCCTCATTGTGGTCATTGCTCTTGTTGTGACAGAAATTACATGACCTCAGGACTCATCTTAGACTCACAATAGGACCGACCTAGAAAGTCCTTGAAAAAAGAAATAAGCAATTTCAACATTTGGCAAGAATTCTATATTCTGGATCTGGGTCAAGGTTGGAGGGCAAAAGTTAAAGAGAGCAGTGGATGGTGTGCCTTTTCAGTATTCTTGTGATTCTTCCAGTAGCATCCAAGAGGAACAAGGTGTGTGGTCCTCAGTCTCCCATTGGTAACTCTCCTCTCCTGCACATCCACACCTGCACTTTTGGTTCTTCCGTGAGTTCCATTCCTCTGAACCCAAACTTTCTACTTTTTAGCAAAAAAA